CGCTCAACTCAACCCTAGAGTTACTCTTATCGATGAGACCTACATATGAATGACCCGACGCTGAGGTCGACCTCTCTATCTGTGCCTCAATGACCAGTCCGTCCTCTGCCTCGTATATGTCGGGCGACGGGGTTTGTGGCCAATCAGACCACACCTCCATCTCAGTTATGCCGACGTAATAGTCTTTTTGGACATTACGGCTGAAAATAACTCTAATTTGTGTGGTTTTGATGGCTTTAAATGATATGACATTCAAATCGTTAGGCGAGCACTGAGTTGGAGATGAGACCTGACTGTCCGCATCTTTCCACTCATTTGCCTCAGTATAGTATTGGACAACCATTTTCGTGGGACAGTCTGTTTTGCCTTCTTTGGTGTCCACATCTGAGTAGACGTAGAGATGGACTGAAGAGACAGTCTTTTCGCGACCGAAATCAATGGCAAACCAATCGGTCTCATGCTTTGAGTCATAATTAGACCACCGATTACTGGGAATGTAGTCATAGAATATACGGCCGTCCACTGCCTGCCAGGTGCACCCGGGGTTACCGTCCGAAAAACTGGCATAAGGCCTGGGATATCCATTTCTATATGTATTTACCGCATAATTTCCAGATTTCTTTCTATCATTTAATTGACTCTTAATTTGAGGCACTTTTATGACAACTCTTTTCAAATTCTCTTCATTCAATACTTTCTGTTCGTTAACATAGACTGTCAGCCCTTTCCCTACTTTATACTTATCCCCAGTTTTGTCATAAATAAAGGTAATGTTATTTCCGTGATATAAGACATCTTCGACTGCAAAATAGTCCCACGATTTCGGTACTAAAGGGTCGATCACTAATGTGTTATCACTTTGTGGTAAAACACCCAACAATTCAGTCAATACATTGTCCGTATAAGTCGAGTGCATGTAATGCTCGGAATGATTACTAATTATACAAATAAAATACAAATTATTAAATAATTATGATTAGACTTCTTGTCGTTGATCCTTACGTTGAATCACAGACCCAGAAGTCACCGGAAGGTGAATGACATTCCGCGACATACGGCTTGTTATCCTTGTATTGAGTGAACGCATACTTCTCCAGAAGTGACACATAGTTATCAACCGTTATCTTAGGATTCTGTTGACTGTATTGTCTGAGGTGTGTGGCCAGGGATCTGAGTATATGTGCCGTGGAATATGGCCACGAGTTACCGTTCCACCAACAGCACTGGTGCTTTTGGGTGCCGTCGTACCACTT